ACATTTTACCCAAATGGCTCATTTCTCAGAAATCTTTACAAACAAGCCAGGCCACTGTTATCCCTATATTAAGATGGAATGGGCCAAGGCTGCAACAGGGCTTAAGTCAACCCACTGAAAAAGTCCACAACTCAGTCTTACCCACTTGTTGTTTTTGTTCAGTCGCATAGTCGAGTCCGACTCTTCGCGACCCCATGGACCAGATCACGCCAGGCCTTCCGGTCTTCCGCCGTCCTCTGAAGTTTGCTCAATTTCATGTCCGTTGCATCGATGACACTGTCTAACCATCTCATCCTTTGCCGTCCCCGTCTTCTTTGACCTTCAATCTTTCCCAGCATCAGGGTCTTCTCCAGTGAGTGCTCCCTTCTCATTTGGTGGCCAAAGTATTTGAGCTTCAGTTTCATTATCTGGCCTTCCAGGGAACAGTCAGGGTTGATTTCTTTTAGGATTGACTGATTTGATCTTCTTGCAGTCCAAGGGACTCTCAAGAGTCTCCTCCAGCACCATAGTTCAAAAGAATCTATTCTTCAGCACTCGGCCTTAATGCAGCTAAGTGTAACTTAATTTTTTCCCCACAGAGTAGTTAGGACCAACACATGCCCCAACAGCTCTCTTCACCTCCAAGAGACAAGCTGTGAGCCACATTCCAGTTGGCCTGAGTTCACTCTGACCTCACTCACTGGAGACAGATTCAGATGGGTAGCCGTGTTGGTCTAAAGCAACAGACCAGAGTTTGAGTCCAGTGGCACCTTTAAGACCAATCTTTCACTCTGTGTAAGAGGCTCTTTAGGTCCTCTTCACTTTCTGCCATTAGAGTGGTATCATCTGCGTATCTGAGGTTGTTGATCTTTTTCCCAGCAATCTTAATTCCCGCTTGATTCATCCATGCCAGCATTTCGCATGATGTACTCTGAATATAAATTAAATAAGCAAGGTGACAATATACATCCTTGTTGTACTCCTTTTCCTATGCTGAACCAATCAGTTGTTCCATATCCGGTTCTAACTGTTGCTTCTTGGCCCTTATACAGGTTTCTCAAGAGACATGTGAGGTGGTCTGGTACTCCCATCTCTTTAAGGACCTGCCATAGTTTGTTGTGATCCACACAGTCAAAGGCTTTAGCATAGTCAATGAAGCAGAAGTAGATGTTTTTCTGGTACTCTCTTGCTTTCTCCATAATCCAGCGAGTGTTGGCATTTTGATCTCTAGTTCCTCTACCTCTTTGAAACCCAGCTTGTACTTCTGGCAGTTCTCTATCCACGTACTGTTGAAGCCTAGCTTGTAGGATCTTGAGCATGACCTTGCTAGCGTGTGATGTGAGTGCAATTGTGCGATGGTTTGAACATTCCTTGGCATTGCCCTTCTTTGGGATTGGAATGTATACTGACCTTTTCCAATCCTGTGGCCACTGTTGCATTTTCTAAATTTGCTGGCAAATTGAGTGCAGCACTTTAACAGCATCATCTTTTAAAACTTACCCACTAAGAAACTTTAATTCAAAACAGCAATTCATGTCCTTTTCCAACCAGTCCCAATAATGTATCACAGTAGCCTTCTCTCTACACACACTAGTTCAAGTGATCATCCATATTTGATCTGTATTGTGAATGTGTATTCCCGGACAATGTCATACTCAATAGCAGATGAGTACAAGTTGGTCCGTTAACACCACAGTATCAACTGGTGCCATCTGAAGTCTGCTAGCGCTGCAGCTCTGGTTGCCATCCTCGAGGATTATAACAGATCTCCAGACTACCGAGACCAGTTCCCCGGGGGAAATGGCGGCTTCAGAGGGCAGCCGTATGGAATCCCATCCCCATTGAGCTCCCTCCCGTCTCTAAAGTCTGACTTCCCTAGGCTAAATCTCCAGGAATTTCCCAACCCAAAGCTGGCAACTCTAGAAGCAGCATTCACAGCTCAGAGTAGAAATTCAGGCTATGGTACATTCAAGCAAGCATTAAGGGATTTGGAGACATTCAAAGAAGCATTTGCGGGACAGAGTTGTTTAATTAAAAGTTGACACATCCACAATCCTAACATCAATTGTGGTAAAAAATAATCTAGACTTTTACAGTACAGTACCACAGACAACCATAATCAAGAACAGTCGTACAGAGTATGCATCCCCTTCCCTAATGTTAAGAAACTCACACACCCATCTTCTGTTCCAAATATAGGAAAGCCGTTGTCAAGTTCCAGGTTGTTTCCCCAGAGAACCCTGCATGAAAGCTGACTAGAGCTCTTTCAGCCTCCTTTTAGGAAATGCTTCCTAGAATGAGGCCAACAGATTACCAGACAGCTTTTCTGGCACACTTTAAACAAAACACACACATAATCTGCACATTACTGGTAAGGGGGAAGTCATCTGTACACCTCCCTACTAGCGCATACTGAACTACGGTGCGGCAGGTTTTATTTCTCAGAGACTAAGTTACACACAAGTAGCACCACTTTGCAAGAGCACCTCCACACTAGGCCTTTGCAATGGCTGTGTCCCAGAAGCCATGAGGTCTTTCACTATTCAGAGAAGCAGCCTCTCTTGCCCCACATTGAGCATTTCCACATAGGGCAGTTCCACATAGGGCAGCTGAGAAAGGACTGCCGTGTTGGCACCAGCTAAGACTGCTGAAAGCCAGGTTACAAACAGACAGTTCCCTTCAGTTCTGTTCTTCCCCTTAGCTTTTATCTCTCACAGGAATCCAGTCAAAGCATTTCCTGAAAGCGCAGTTAAAAAGGTAGACTTTTGGCAAGCTACGGCTCTTTCTTCCCCTAGTTACCATTTAGTTTGTTTTCCTAGTTCAACAAAAACATGGCAAAGTTCCCCAAGTTCTTTGCCCTCTCCGGTGAAAAGGAACACAACAAAGCTCTTATTTAAAGTGCAACTCTCACGTTGTGATGCATCACCACAAGGGAGGCACACCCTATTAATTAAATTCACTTCACAACCCTGTTTGTGCACAATGATTGGTCCAAGAGGTAGAATGTTCAACCTGCTATCAGTACACGACCTGTGTTACAGCTGTGTGGGTCCCTCTGCCATATACCAAACTGCAGTGTTGGGTAGTCTGTTGCAGTAGCTCTGTTTCTCTGGGGGCTCTACCTCAAAGACACTGTGTTCCTTGCCAATCCAGGGGCAAGGCACAGGTGACAGGATTCCTACTATAATGGGCAGAATCCTACCACCCTATATGTGGAAGGTACAGTTTTTCTGCCTCTCTCTGCATTGCTGTGGCTCTTTCTGACCCCCAGAGGAATCAGTCCTGGAGCTGCAGGTGTTCTGCACTCTACAGGCCAGCCCCGTCAGGTGTCCTCTGAAGCAGTGCACACAGGTCTAGAGAGCGAGGCTTGGGAGCATCCATAGGTGCTGGGAGGCAGGAGCTGGAACTGAAGGCAAGGAGCAGGAACGGGAGTCAAGGAACTGGAGCTAGCACACAGGCTTGCGTCTAGTGGACTGGTTGATCCAGCAAGGCAGCTTTCCCAAGCCTTAGCCTAAATAGGCTGGGAAGTCATCAGGCTCAGCTGCCCTGCTGGCAGGTGTTGAGCTCCTGTGGCGGCACTGTGCTTTGGCCAGGATCTTGCAAAGACTGATGGTTCTCACTGCCTGGCTCTGGGATGGGGCTGTGTGCAGCCAGTCGAGCAATTAGCTTCCTTTGGGCTATCTCAGCCTGGGCCTTCTACCACTGCCATTCCCGCAGAGTAAGAGTCTCCCCTGAGGTCTATGGGCCTGGGTCCATGTCCTGCCTGGTGACAATTTCAGGGCCAGTGGTGAGACTTCCCTTGTGGGCTCAAGCAGTCTGGTGGCCTCTGGTGCTGCTGGACCATTATCATCAGGTGCCTTTGCCATTGTAGGCTCTCCCTGGTCCTGTTGGTCCTCCTCAGCTTCTCGGGCTCTTCCTCTGAGGACTCCAAACCTGAGTCACTGAGCTGGTTGGCAAAGGCAATGACAGCAGGACCCATGTGGACTGGAAGCACATCAGTGGGAGGGGCTGAAGTGAGACGGGTGAGTTGAAACTGCTCCTCCTTCCTGTTGCTGCTAAGGGGAGGGTACCGTTTCATTCCCTTGTCCCTCTTCTCTCCAGCCTGCCATCCCTCATGGCTGTTCCTACGCAAGGATCCTGCAACCCCGGGACTGACCTTTCTAGCCATCACAGGGAGCTGCTGCAGTGATGGAAGTGAATGTGGGAAAATCCCATGTGCCTGCTGCATTGTAGGGCACTGCCCACTGACTTAGTCATACTTGGGAGGATCTCACTGAGAGCACTTTCACACACACTAAAAACACACTTTCAAACCACTTTCAGTGCACTTTGCAACTGGATTTTATTGTGTGAAATGGCAAAATCCACTTGCAAATAGTCACTGAAGTGGATTGAAACGGCATTATTTAGCATATGTGGAAGCACACTCAGTCTCTCTCTCAGTCTCCCTTGAATCCAAATGAAAACCACTGTGAATCTCCGGCATGATTTAGTAAGGAAGTGAACACTAGCAGACATTGGGCCTGCATGTGTCAAGTGCTATCAAGTTGCAGGCGACTTACAGCAACCCCTCACGGTTGGTTTGCCATTGCTTGCCTCTGCATAGGAACCCTAGACATCTTTGGTGGTCTCCCATCCAAGTACTAACTGGGGTCAATCCTGCTTAGCTTCTGGGACATGACAAGATGAGGCTAGGCTGGGCTATCCAGGTCAGGGCATCAGGCCTGGGTCTTCTAAATCAGAACAACATTTTGACATGGAGGGAATTTCCAACTCCCCCAAACATACATAGCTGGGAAAGCTATCTTCTGCTTCCTCACAACAAAATGTAGCTAGGCTTTAAGGATGGTGGACTCCTTAAAGAATGTACACATGAAGCAATAATGCTATTATTTGGCATCAGCAGGATACTTCAACTTTGAAAACACAGTAACTGGGGATTGTTGGAGAATGGCCAGGTGTTAGTCGCTTCCTTGATAACAGCGGTAAGAACACACAGAGAAGACAGTCATAGTACTTACCTCGAGAACCTCTCTGCAAGAGCCAATGACTTGTTCTTGTTGACGAGAGACAACTCTTTGGCGGTGATCCTCACAGAATGTGAAGTCCATTGCCTTCTATTAAAAGGGGATGGCTCCATCCTGAAATGCAGCAGTATCTGGGGTGGTGGTGGAAGGAAGAATACAATTCTTTACGTAGAGCATTCATACCAGAATAGTAGCCTTCAAAAGCTGCCTATTCGCCAGTTGTAGAAGAAGATTTACGACTAACCACCTCCCTGCATTATGGACATCATCTGTATAGTGACCTCCTGCAATTGTTATTTAAAAAAGAGAAAGTGCCTTGGTGCCCTAGACATATAATATAGACCTTGGGATTTTAAAATTATTATTGTGAGAAACAGCAAAGACCAAATGGGATAATACATAACCCAATACATCTCGACCTAGAATAATTGATAAGGCAGACACGCACCCTTCCCCCACTATTCTTCTTTCCTATCTCCACTGTCCTAAGCCTTTTGCAACAGGCAGGCAGCCTGACTCCTATTCTGAATGCCCTTTACTGCACAATCGTCTCAAGCTAACCTAAAGACTATACCAAAAAATAAATAAATAAACCTTTTACAGTTAAGCAGTCTAAATAAATGCTACTTTAAGTCAGTACTAAGGTCACTGCTTGTGAAGGACACTGCAAGCTTTCCATTATAATATCTGCCAATTAGCATGGGGGGGGGGAGGCAAAGAAAACCACCATGCAGTCTAGTTCAGATTATCTAAACCACAACAGGATTAAGCTGCCATATATCGAAGGCAATGAAACAACTGGTGAGTGAACTGGGCTACCCGCTCTGTTGCAGTACACAAGTGTCAAGAGGTTTATTCTTGCAGTTGTTTGAATGGAAGTTTTCTGGTCTTAGAATACGAGTAAACAAACTTTGTAAGAATGTCTGTTTTAGTCCTGTGTGGTAGTTTCATTCCTGAACTGCCATTTAAGTTTCTTTAAATTATGTTTGTATCCTTCTCTTTTTCAAGAGCAGCTCTGTAGCCTTACAGCTACCTTGCAAGGTAGGTTAAGTTTCAGGGCTGATTAGAGATTTAAACATGGGTTTCCCAGATACAAGACCAACACTGACCACTACATCGCACTAATGCTTCATCACACTATGGAAGTGCTAAGCAATGATAACAAAGGGAGTTGATAGTCTTTGCTACATAAGAACATAAGAGAAGCAAATGTTGGATCAGGCCAATGGCCCATCCAGCCCAACACTGTCACATAGTGGCCAAAAATACCAGGTGCCATCAGGAGGTCATAAGAACATAAGAGACGCCAATGTTGGATCAGGCCAAAGGCCCATCCAGTCCAACACTCTGTGTCACACAGTGGCCAGAAATACCAGTGCCATCAGGAGGTCCAGCAGTGGGGCCAGGACATTAGAAGCCCTCCCACTGTTGACCCCCCCCCCCAAGCACCAAGAAGACAGAGCATCACTTGCCCCAGAGCCCCTAGCTATACCTTGTGGCTAATAGCCACTGATGGACCTCTGCTCCATATGCTTATCTAATTCCCTTTTGAAGCCGTCCATGCTTGTAGCACCCACCACTTCCTGTGGCAGTGAATTCCATGTGTTAATCACTCTTTGGGTGAAGAAGTACTTCCTTTTATCCGTTCTAACCCGACCGCTCTGCAGTTTCATGGAGTGCCCACGAGTTCTTGTATTGTGAGAAAGGGAGAAAAGTACCTCTTTCTTTACCTGCTCTTTCCCATGCATAATCTTATAAACCTCGATCATGTCACCCCTCAGTCGTCTTTTCTCCAAGCTAAAGAGCCCTAAGCGCTTTAACCTTTCCTCATAGGGAAAGTGTTCCAACCCTTTTATCATTCGAGTTGCCCTTTTCTGCACTTTTTCCAAAGCTATAATATCCTTTTTAAGGTGTGGTGCCCAGAACTGCACACAGTATTCCAAATGAGGTCTCACCATTGATTTATATAGGGGCATTATTATATTGGCTGATCTGTTTTCAATACCCTTCCTAATAATCCCCAGCATAGCATTGGCCTTCTTTATTGCAGTCACACACTGTCTCGACATTTTCAGTGAGTTATCCACTACAACTCCAAGATCTCTCTCTTGCTCAGTCTCTGCCAGTTCAGACCCCATCAATGTGTATTTATATTTAGGATTTTTGGCTCCAATGTGCATCACCTTGCACTTGGCCACATTGAACCCCATTTGCCATGTTGACGCCCACTCGCCCATCCTTGACAGATCCCCTTGGAGTGCCTCACAATCCTCACTGGTTTTCACCACCCTGAACAACTTTGTATCATCCGCAAATTTAGCCACTTCACTGCTTACTCCCATCTCCAAATCATTAATGAACAAGTTAAAAAGCAGTGGACCAAGTACTGATCCCTGCGGTACCCCACTGCTTACCACCCTCCACTGAGAAAATTGCCCACCTACACTCACTCTCTGTTTTCTATGAACTAGCCAGTTTTTGATCCATAAAAGGACTTGTCCTTCTATCCCATGATTTTTGAGCTTACTTAGGAGCCTTTGATGAGGAACTTTATCAAAAGCTTTCTGGAAGTCAAGGTAAATAATATCTATTGGATCCCCCTTGTCCACATGTTTGTTCACCCCCTCAAAGAACACTAACAGGTTAGTGAGACAAGATCTTCCCTTACAGAAACCGTGCTGAGTCTGCCTCAATAGGTTTTGTTCATCTATGTGCCTACTAATTCTTTCCTTAATAATGGTTTCCACCAATTTACCCGGTATCGACGTCAGACTGACTGGCCTGTAATTTCCCGGATCTCCTCTGGAACCCTTTTTAAAGATGGGAGTGACATTAGCTACCTTCCAATCCTCAGGAATGGAGGCAGATTTTAAGGAAAGATTACATATCTTTGTCAGGAGATCTACAAGTTCACATTTGAGTTCTTTCAGAACTCTCGGATGTATGCCATCTGGGCCTGGTGATTTTTCAGTTTTTAAGTTGTCTATCAGTTTTAGGACCTCCTCTCTCGTCACCTCAATCTGACTCAGGTCTTTCAACACCCCTCCTGAAATCAGTGGTTCTGGAGTGGGCAAGCACTTCTCATCTTCCACAGTGAAGACGGAGGCAAAAAATGCATTTAGCTTCTCAGCCATTTCCCTATCATCCTTCAATACTCCTTTTACCCCTTGGTCGTCCAAGGGCCCCACTGCCTCCCTGGCTGGTTTCCTGTTTCTAATGTATTTGAAGAAAGTTTTATTGTTGGTTTTTACGTTTTTTGCTATATGCTCCTCATATTCCCTTTTTGCCTGCCTGACCTCAGACTTGCATTTTATTTGCCATAGCCTGTGTTCCGTTTTATCAGCCTCACTGTGACTAGCTTTCCACTGCTTAAAGGAATTCTTTTTACTTTTTACAGCCTCCATTACTCTGTTTGTTAACCATGCAGGCTTTTTCCTATACCTTTTTGTGCCTTTCCTAACCTGCGGAATATATATTTTTTGAGCTTCTAGGATCGTAGTTTTAAATAGATCCCAAGCTTCCCCAATTGTTTTGACCTTTTCTACTTTTCCTTTCAGTTTCCTCCCCACGTGTCCCCTCATATCAGAGAAATTACCCCTTTTAAAGTTAAAAATGGTTGTGTGAGTCTTTTTGGCCAATTCTCTATTTGTACAAATGATGAACTCAACAACATTATGATCACTGTTTCCAAGCGGTGCAATCACTTTTACATCTCTCACCAGGTCTTGAGTGTTACTTAGGACCAAATCAAGGATCGCCTCTCCCCTGGTAGGTTCCGTGACCATCTGCTCCATAGCACAGTCATTTAGAGTGTCTAGAAACTCAATCTCCAGCAGTGGAGCCAGGACACTAGAAGCCTACCCACTGTTGCCCCCCCCCAGCACCAAGAATACAGCGCATCACCTGCCCCAGACTGAGAGTTCCTATCTATATCTTGTGGCTGATAGCCACTGATGAACCTTTGCTCCATCATGAAAAGTGATTTCATAAACTGACCCGTAGCACCCTTGTTTAAGCAGGTTAGTGAGGAGTTCCCCATCAGTTACTATTAAGCGCACCAAATTCAGCCGCATAGTTGCTCCTCCAGATTCACCGTGGCTAACAACAACGCAAAAACCACTCACTGCATGGAGCAACATTTGATCTTCTAGGCAATCTTGTTTCCCTTACTGATGATTTCTCCCATGTCAAGGCAGCCAGGGGCAAGCAGCACTCCACGTAAACTACCTAAGGCTAAATTGACACAATTTCCCATAAGAAGTGCTGTGGTGTGCACAAAGATTAAAATGAGACCTGAGATTAAAAGATTAAAATGAGTTCTGAGGGCAATTGAGGGGCATTCTGCAAATACTATATTTATCCCAAAGGAAGACAACCTTGAATGTAAGATGCCTACCCATCCCCCGGTACTATTCAGTAGCAACCCCTTCATCTGAAGGACTCAGGTTTTTCAACATGTGCAGAGAAGAAAACAGCGAGCGGTGTTTACATCTGCATACAAAGTATAGTTATGTATAGTAATAAACCTTTTGTGTACAACCTTTATTACTAACATAATCATAACCTGTATGCAAAGACACATACCCATTTTCTTTACAGCATATATTGGAAAAAACAAAACCCAGAGTCTTCCTTTCAGATAATTAGGAGCTAGTCTTGTGTGCGTAAAGAGACATCAAGTCGGAGATGACTTATGGAGACCCCTCATGGGCTTTTCAAGGCAAGAGATGACTAGAGGTGGCTGCCTCTGCAAAGCAACCATAGACTTCCTTGATGGTCTAAGATCTGACGATTGATGTAGCCACGTGGGTCAGGGCAAGGCCAGTCTTAGCAGAGCAGAGTTCCAGACACCCCGAGGGGACGCAATATCTCCTTCTCGCCACCTTTCATAAAATGTTCCACTCTAAAGTGGGAGAGGGGAAGAGAGGGAGATCTATTGTGACCTTTTGCTTCACATTCGAAAGTGTCTTAAAGAAAAAACACTGCTCAGAAGACCTCTTTACCAATCCCTGCCTGCGTGTGTGAAGGGAAACTATCTCAACCAGCACAGGAAAGACCATTACCTTCTGAAGCAGATTCTGAGGCCCATCAGCTGCAAGCTCAAATGAAACACTAAAACTGGTTTTTCTGC